GGCCCTGTGGTCTGAAGGCAGGCCCTAGGGCCTGGGCTCTGGCTGTTGACAGTATCCCAGGAGGCCTCACTGAGGGCTGTGTCAGAGACATGCACATGTGGGAGCCAACATCTGGTTATGATTAATCCTCTCAACACCCTGGACTAATGTGTACTGGCCTTGGGCCACAGCAGCCACCCCTGGGGAAGCCGGTCCTATCCATGTTTCTCTCCAGTTCTTCAGAGACTGGGTCTTTGCCTTAGCTTTCTATTCTCCCCTCTGTATTCATTAGAACATGAGAGATGCGGTCTTAAAAAAAAATGCTGACTTTTCGAGGTGGATGGGGCATGCAGAGGCACCAGTTTGTAGCAAAGGTGCTAAGTAGTTGGGGATGCTGAGTATCCCAGGGTCGGAACTGCAAGATCACTGAACCCCTTTGGAACCCCAGATTTCCTTGCGAGCACATGAAATGTCCCACGACATACACAACAGTCCACTGCAAAGTATTAGCTGGTGGTATGTGGAATTATGGAGAAACTGAGGCGTGTACACCTGTGTTACAGAGATGTGAATCTGCAGCTTTTCTAGGAACCTACAGAGAGCATGAAGCACTAGCAAGTGGTCAAGCATGGCCCAGACCTGGCTCAGTTTTTCTCAGAGAAAACATAGTTTGTAGCAGTTCTTTGAACTCTCTCCTCTTTTATAAAGTGAGAGCCATAGTTTCAAATGTACAGGGTTGCTCTCAGGGCTCCACGGCCTTATGCATCGAAAGGGTTTACCACTGTAGCTGTGCAGAGTAGATGGAGTAGTTATCGCTATTTGTGGTACCCTTAATCAGCTTAGAACTCTGATTTTGGCTGCAGCCTAGCATGAGAAGTGTATATTCTTCATTTCCAAGACAGGGAGAGTTGTTCATACCAAGACACTTTTGAAAGTCAGTGTGTCTGAGCCTCTGTCTTCCTGGCTCCTAAGCAGTGACACAGAGCACTTGCATCACAGGTTTGTGGGAAGCAGTGCCTGGGAAAGTGAACAGGAGAACGGCCCTGGAGCAGGTGTCCAGGCAGGGGAGCTGCAGTGCGCACGCATATGTTCTTCAGGTCCTGTCCTCTGCCTGGGACACAGCCAGAGCGGGCTGATGCAGGTTAGCCCATCCCAGCACAGGAAGAAATCCGACCCTCATCGCAGTCGTGGTTTTGTTTTCCCAGAGGGCCTTGAGGAAATTACTATGGGTCTTAACTCTTTCCTCTTTTTTAGCATTATTTTTGTTCTCTTTGGGAATTTCCAGAGAACTGATAATGGATCAGTTATGGTGGTACCAAAGATGGGACTGTGGTTGTGATCTTTTTGCTTTGGATTCTGATGGGAGTGAGGTGGAACAAGAGAGACTTTGTTTTCTTAAAAGTGCAAATATGATCTAGACTATGTGAAATATGTATGCTAGAAGTACTAAGTCACTTCCTTAAATAATTGAACCCATTTATATAGGGTTAGTTTAGAGTCCTTGGTTTTAGGCCTTCATATTTACTTGAACGTAATAGTAACAGAAAAAAATATAAAGCCTTATTTTCATGCCAACACTATTTCAAAGTAAAAAGATATAACATGATTTTGCAGGATATTTGTTAAGCTTGAGTAATGAGCTCTTCAGGGAATCAACTTCATTTGGATCAAGACTAGACAAAGCCGTGCAGCGCAGATGGAGTGCTTAGTGGGTGGACAGTTCGGCCCCCTCCTGCAGCCTCCTTGCTCTGCCTGCCCCCTCCCCTCAGCTTCTTATCTCCATACTATCTGTGTGTACCTCTGGATTCACATAATGCTCACATAATTGGGGACCATCACTGTCATTTGTATAGAAGACAGATGACGTAGTGACTGGTGAACCCTGAAGAATTCAGAGCCTGGACTGTTAAGTTCCTACTCTGACCTTAACTAGCTGAGCAAATCCTACTCAGTGTGGAAGTGCCTTTTCTTAATAGGTGCTAGACAAATGATTCCTCATCCTCTTTGGACAGTGCAGTGTTTGTCTGTAAGTGGAAGGGGTTGGACAGAATGACCTCTAAAGACCCTTTCAGCTCTAAGTTCTGTGATTATATTCCAAATATTAGGACACCATGGTGCTTATGAGTGTTGCCATTAATGAAGTTACCTATCATTTGTCTTCTAAAGGAAAAGCACACCAATACGAGCAGGACAGCCATGCTTGAAAGTGAGAGTGTGGATTTTTATTGTGTCTGCAACTCTCTAGCGATGCTTGTGATAAATGAGAATGTCTTCAGAAAATTTCCAGCTGCCCTGGGGTGACCAGATCTGTCATTTTGTTTTGGACTAGGTTACAGCAAACATCTCCTACTTGAATATGATTCTGCATACTTCAGACTTATAATGTAGCTGAAAATGAAAATTTCTGCTTAATAGTAGTTGATAAAAAATTTCACCAAAAAGAAAGAAAGAAAGAAATGGTCTTCTCACTTCCTCTCTCATCTACCTCTTCAGTGTGCCCTTGACCTGTGCTTCAGAGGGAAGTCTCTTGAGAGGCTCCCAGCTGAGCTTCACCCAGACTGCATTCCCTGCAGCACTGTCGGTCTCCATCCTTTCTCTTCCTGTCAGAGTATTTGCGCGGTTCTGCCGAGCCTGTGCCCCCAAAGCCGGATGCTGCGTCTCACTTCCTGTTACCATCACCAGCCGCTCCAACCAGCTCTTCTGTTTCCTTCTCCTCTTTAAAAGCTGCACATGGATTCCCAGCCATCCTAAAGGATGTGTTCTATCTCAGCCCTGGGCATCAACCAGTGACCTCGCACAAGCTAAGCAAGCTCTGCCACTGAGCAACACCCACGATACTATTCATTTTGTTTGTTTGTCTGTTTTTAATGTAAGTCAGGGCTTGCTAAGTTGCCTAGGCTGGCATTGGACTTCCAGTCCTTCTGCCTCAGCTTCCCAAGCAGCTGGGATTATATAGGTTTGTACCATGATGCCCATGCTAGATGATGTTTAGTGATAAGATGCAGCCTGGTCACCTCCCTTAAATCCTATGATCACACAGAACCAATTGATTTCTCCAGCTGTACCTCTCCTCACTGCACTCCTCAAACCATGAAGGGTGTTTTTATTTTACCCTTTTTCATGGGGTCTTAATCTTATTCTTTCATGTCCCTCACTCAAAATTGGATAACGGAGAAGAGGGCTTTTTTTTTCCCCCTATTTAACCTTTCCCGTAAATCTCATTTTCAGACTTGCTCCAAATTAGAGTAAAGGTTAAGTGAAGTGGGAAAAGAGGGGGGAAGGGAGGGGACATGCGGCTCTGCTGAGCCATCTACTTCCGCAGGGTACATCTCCGAGTCTGCACCTCCTGTCCTGCCATTGTCCTTTCATGCCAGCCCTGAGCCGGCCGTGATATCGGCCCTCAGCTCTGCCCTCTGTGCTCTCACCAAGGACTTCTCTGGCCACCTGCCACTGGGCCAGTCCCAGCTCACCCTCCGTCTGTGGACTTTCTCTCCCAAGGCCATGCGTCATTCATGCTGTGTCCTCTTCTGATGACTTAGGGACATTGTTTTGTTGTTGTTGTTATTGTTTTGTTTGTTTATTTCTATTTTATCTCACTCTGTTGTAAATTTGAAAGTGAATCCCAAACATTTTTGACCACAAAAACAGTTTTCCTTTCCCTGACTCACTGTATGTAATACCAGTATCATTCAGAGGCAGTAGCCAGGGGAGTGTGCTAGAAAAACCAAAAGACTGGGGCTGGAGGTTTAGCTCAGCGGCATAAGTGCCTGCCTGGCAAGCACGCGGTCGTGAGTTTGATCCCCTGTACCAATAAAAAGGAAAAAGACAAAAAAAAAAAAAAAAAGAAAAACCAAAAGACCAAGGTCCAAACTTGGAACTTGCTTTTGTGACCTGAGATCAGTTACAATAATTCCCTGCTTATGTTTTCTTTTGCCTTTAAAGTGCTTTTAAACCATGTAGCACCTTATCTTATTGGGTTGTATGGGAATCATTACAGGTAGCTTATAAAAGAATGATTTGGAAAGGTAATTTATTGTACACACCCACAGTCAGTTCTGTTCAGTGTCCCAGCAGTAGCAGCAGCAGTGCTGTCACATCCCGAATTGTATCTGTGCCTCTCTGAAGCTCCCACCTGAGTGTGAGTGAAAGTCGGGCTCTAGCTGTAAAATATCTTCCCCCAGATGGCCTCGTGTTCTCCTGGGAAGAGATGACATCCTAGTTCACTAGCTGTTGCTCTGGACCCCAGCTGAAGGGGTCTGGGTGAAGATAATTCTTGCCTCAGTGTGCTACAGACCAACATTGGGCTGACTGTGCACACACGGAAGGCTTTTGCTTCTTTCTGGTAAAAAGTGTTCCTTCCGGAAGAAGCTGGCTAGTCAGCCAGAGGCCCTGGGAAACCTGGACAATTTTGTTTCTCAAGCTTTCCTGCCAGAAAATGTTGGGGTACATTAGTGCTTCACTGCACACCACTGTGTTCTTTTCAGGATAGCAGACTAGGAACTTTCTGCTTTTGATAAAGGAAATTACATGAGGATTATTTTGAGGACCACTCAACAGAGCTAGTAATGATCGTAGGAGACACATTACTATTGTCAAGCATGTGACATCTAAGCACGCTGTCTCTCTGTGCCTGACAATGCAAGTTGGTGGTTTCACTACCTACAGGTTCTTAGCTGCCCTCCCTCCCTTGCGTGAGCGCAGTCGCTGCCACAGCAAAGCACAAGCTCGGGTTAGATTTGTATGCTCACCAGAGACTAGGTAGGAGGCACCGTACAAATGTCTAAATTATTACGGCTCCAGACTCGAAGGTCTTTTAAAAATAATTTCATACAGTTCATTATTGTTAGTATTTGTGGCTGCTTGATAAGCTCCAGAACCTTTTTCTGGCATGTAAAATAAATCATGCCTAATAGCTAATAGCTGAGGGTTTTTTTTTTATACTTAAACTTTTCTCTAAAACAATGACATGTCATCACCCTGATTAATTCTGTTTAATGCTGTTTTTCTTTTCTCTCCCTTAGGATGGTCGTCTGCGAGTGAATGACCAGCTGATTGCAGTTAATGGGGAATCTCTTCTGGGAAAGTCCAACCACGAAGCTATGGAAACACTTAGGCGATCAATGTCTATGGAAGGAAACATACGAGGGATGATCCAGTTGGTGATTCTGAGGAGACCAGAGAGACCCACAGAGGTGACTCACATCTTGATTTTCCTCAGCCAACTGCTCAAATTGTCACCCAAAAAGACAGACACCCACCAGTGGTGTGATAGCTCTACTCAGGGTGATTCTGCAGTTGGGAAAATAGGGCTCTGATGTATTAATGTGTGGAATGAGTGGTTGTACAGTTTAGGTAGGCCTAGATAGTGTAAAAAAGTGCACATAAAGTAAGTCATATGTCACATATAACGGGTTCATAGTTTCTAGATACTTTCCTACAGACAGTTCTGGAACTCTGGACTTACTCATAACCTCCTTAGGAAGTTCCTGATCAGATGTACACAGCGTCAGGGTCAGATATGAGATCACTGTAGTACAGTCAGCTCTCTACTTTCTCCCCTGTAGCCCATATACAGCTAATACAGACTTGAGATTTAACTAATTGAAAATGTCACAATGTAATCTATTAACTAGTGATTTCATACTGGGTTTTTTTTTTTGAAATTCTGTATTACTTGTACCCTTATACTCTTTTGGTTTTTTTCCTTAAAAAAAAAAAAAAAGAAAGAAAATGTTATCTGGTAAGCAAGCTACTTGTTTCATGTTATTAAATGAAAGGAAGTCTTTTTTCTGCAATCTTTTATCATGATCTCTTTATTGATGTTTTTAATATCAGAAATATTTCCATTTATAGGCTGACACTTAGCAATCAAGTTAATCTTGATTGCTAATTTTCCTGAACATTTCTTTTACATAAGACTGTAAATATAAAATTCCTAAAAATTATATTTCCTAATTATTAAATATTCCTATTTGGGAAAAATAGGAAAAATTTAATAGTATAAAATTAAAGAAAAATACAAATCACACAATATCTTATGATATTATTCTCTTTACAGGCAAAATATGTTTGTATAGTAGAGTAGTATAGAGACTAAAATAGAATACTATCAAAAATAGTAACATAAAATATTATTTTTTTGGTCTTTTTCATTTTTATCGGTACCAGAGATCAAACTCAGGACCACAGACTTGCAAGGCAGGCATTTACGCCACTGAGCTAAATCCCCAGCCCCCATAAAATATTATTTTCAATAATAAATTCTATTTAAAATGTAAAATGAAAATATCAAATTAAACAGTCCTGATGACAGGGGGCCTCCTTGCAGTTTAATTTCTGAAGTTTTGGCTTGTTGGGGCTAAAATCCTAGCATCGCCATTTATGGCTATGTAGCTGCATATATATCTGAGTGTTCAGTATTGTAGATAACGAATACTGTTATCTGTCTTCCCCATTAATGAGTCTTCATTTCCCATAGCATAGGCGGTAAATAGTAAATACTGCTGAATGCAAAAGTTGTACCCAGGACCCATTTCAACTGAGAAAATAGGTTTTGGGTAGTAAAATTGCAAACCGTATCTCACTTTGTTATGTTATCAGTTTTGGAAAGGAGTAACTTTACCTTTTACCCTCTTCTGTACATAACCTTGTGGATGTTGAATAAATGTAAATTGGCCAATTACTGGAGACTATATATAATGAAGACGCTCATTTGCCGCATTTGCGTCTGCCTAAGTGACAGGATCTTCCATGAATATTTAAAGAGCTGTACTTCTTACAGAGTTACAGTGCCCTGATCTACTATTTCCTACCATAGGAGTGGTGGCACCATGTGGTGTGATTTGGCTCCTCCTCTAGAGACCCATGGATCTGGTTCACAAAGAGGTGGGGGGTGGGGTGGCGCAGAGTCCACAGTGGTGACTTCTGCCTGCGCATCTAAAGATCAGAGCTGCCCGAGATGGTTTTTAACACAGATGTGGCGAGAAATTGAAAAGACTGGCCTGCTCTAGAGTACTCTGCTCATGTAGAAGCAAGAGCTAAGAAAGAAGGAAAGAAAGAAAAAGAAAGGAAGAAAATAAGAAAGGAAGAAAAAGCTTCTGAGAGAATCAGCTGCAGCCCAGCCCTCCTTTCCCCTAACTTCACGTCTCTCTAAAATTTATGTGATAGTGAGTACATGAATCCCTGCATTTGGGACACTTGGCGTTTGTAGGTATTTGTATCTTCCTTCACATGGTCTGGAGTGGATTGACATCATTCCAACAGAAGGAAGTATTAATGTTCAGCTTGTAGCCCATCTTCAGAAGTGTCTCATTAGTACAGTTCACCAGGGAACTGATCCGGAACAAGAACTGGGGCAAAAAGCAATTTTTACGAGGACATTTAAACAAGATCCATTTTCTCTCCTAATATTTACATGTTTTCCATGGGGACCGAGCAGGCCATAGACTCTCAACTATTGAGAGTCTCTGGTACCCATGAAGATTAAAGAGCATTATTTCGCATATAGACAGCAGCCTAATATACAGCTTATCTTTATTAAACTTGAAACAAGCTCCGCAGCTCTTTGATCTCCCACACCTGCGTTTCACTGCGTCGAAGCTTGCACTGTGCACTCATGGTGGCAGCGCATTCTCCTGTGCAGCAGGAGCTGCCCTCCAGTGCAATCAAACCCATCCATAACCTAGAAATGGGTCTCAGCACTGCTCAGACAATCAGGTCAGTCAAATAGCTAGATTTGGCAGGAACACCGAGGTGATTGTCTGAGCGCACCATTGATATTTAAAAAATTAAAGAAGCTATTTAAGAAATGTCAAAATAGAAAGTTGTGGGCTCCCCCCGCATTACCAAGTTGTATAAGATGCAAACAATTTTTGTAAGAACCTCGTGAAGAATATATAATGAACCTTTGATTGAATCAAAATCATTTTAAACAGAAAGATGTTTTTCAGAAGATGAGCTTGAGGTTCAATTGTAATCCTATTTGAGCCTAGAGACTTGGTATTAAAAAATGGGTTATGACCTGGTTTTGTTTTTCTCTTCCCCAAAACATTTTCCTCTCTGCTGCCAGCTCATCTCGGTAGAAGCAGAATAAGTTTAGAAAGCCATTATATTTTTATTGGCTAGGACACTAATGGAAGGCTCCACGACAACTCTATTTTACAGGCTGAAGACTTTAATTAGGCTGGTTACTGATCAGTTGTTGGGATATCGATTGTGTCATTTATCAAAGAGCCGGGAACACAGAAAAAAATTTTGCTCTTGTTGTTATTGTTAAATGAAAACGCAAGGCTGTGCAAGGCAAATCCTACCTGTCTGGCTTGCTGGAACCTCAGCTTGACCTGAGGAGGAGCTGCTGCCCTGGCTGTGTTTGGCCAGCAGTGTAGAGGACAAAGGGAGCGCACAGGTGGGGGAGAAGCCTGGATCTTCAGCAGCTGAAAACGCTTTAATTATTAAAAATGCATAAATAGAGTGTTTAACTATTTTGTTTCACTAACACTGAATTTTTAATAACTAATAAGAAAATATAACCTGGGAATAGTTGATATATGTTTATAATCTCAAGCACTCCAAGAGGTTTGAGGCAGGAGGATGGCAGGTTCAAGCCTAGACCTGGTAACTTAGCAATTTAGGGAGACTCCTGGTCAAAAATTAAGTACCTTTAAAAAAATTTAAGTGCTGGTAATATAACTTAGTTTAAAGGCCCTAGGTTCAATCACCACAACTGCCAAAAAAAAAAAAAGAAAAGAAAAGAAAAAAAATATATAATATGTATACATTTTTCAAGCCGAATTCTTTCCCAGAAGAGAAGAGCTTTGAGAATCACATCTGTGTTCTTGTTTCTGGCCTGTTTGTCTCACAAATGGTCAAGGGAACACTCTGAAATGACTTCCAAATTATTTACTTCCTTGAAACCTGTCAAGGAGGCAAATACTGTGAACCAGAGCAAACCCTGCTTCCTTGTGCCTCCTCCTCCTGAGAAAGCAGCTCAAGCTGCACCCCCCCCCCCAACTGCCTGCCTCCTGGTGCAGCGGCACCTGTGGAGAGGCAGCTTGTGGGGTGTTATTCTGGATATAGCAGTTTGAAGAAAACTGTGAATTTGTTTACAGACTGTTGGAATTACAAATGGGGTTAAGAAATGGGTGGGGAGGGGGAATAAAGAAACCTCAGAAGAACTACTGTCTGGCATGGCCGCCTCGCCTCTCTGAGCTCCCAGAGGAGATTGGAGGTGTCTGCAGTGGGCCATGCCCATGGCGTTCCCTCCGCAGAGCCCAGCGTGTCCTGGAGCATATGCGTGTATCTGAGGACAACACGTGGGTGGGAGAGAGGGACCAGCTGGCTGGCAGAGAAACACCATTGGCACGAGCTGCATTCTTGTATTGACACTGCCACAAGCTGTACTCCCAGATGGAAACAAATGTGAAAGGAGCCAGTTGTAAGTGCAGGGAGAGAATAATAAAGTTAATCCTCTTTTGTGTTGACTATCAGGGCTCCTAATCCTTCCCTGGTTTTTATTCCACATTCATAGATGCTGGAACTGATAAGACCATTTTGATTTTCCACTGCTGAAGACTTATATGCTAGAGACTTTTGAAAGATTATGCATAAATTGATCATTCTTTTCCTCTGCTTCTGTTGACCAAGTTAAAAGGCAAATGTGACTTTTATTTTTGTCCCCCAGGAGACTGCTGAGTGTGGGGCATTCTCCAAGCCTTGCTTTGAGAACTGTCAAAATGTTCTACCCGCCTCCAGCCGAAATGAGAGTGGCATATTACATTCCTTTGACAATTACAGTCCACAAGATAAACAGAAAGGTAAGAGTCTATCCATTTTCATCACTGCAAATGGAGTGAGAAAACACAAAAGTGCCTCTTTATTTAAAAAAAGCAAGGAGAAAGAGGAGTTAATTAGACTAAGTGCAGAGTTCTTTACTCTGAGCCATGAACACTGAGAAGGTGGGATAGCTGACTCAGAACCTGTGAAGCAGAATCCCAACAAGGCCTCCAGTTTAAGTGACAGCTTCTGTGCTTGGTGCCCCAAACACGGGGGTTATGTATAAAACAAAGCCATGCCTGGAGGATCAAAGATAGCAAACTGTTAACTCCTGCAACATTCCCTTAATACTGAAATTACCAAATAACTCTCTAAAAACTCTCCTGGATTTCTGTTAAATCATAAAGTGTTCATAACCTGGCTCCCAGGTTGATGCTGTGTTTCAGGCTGAGTGGTAAACAGTAAACGCTATGCCCTGAACGCTGTGGCAGCTGGAATGTTCTGGTTCCTAACTGACTCCAGGTTCTCTCAGTATGCAGTGGGGACCACATTTCTAATGAAATTCTACCTGTGAAGCACAGAGAAGTGTCTTCTTTGTTTTTAAAAAAATTATACTTTGGGTCACCAAGAAAATCATTTTATTATCCTGTATCTCTTCTGTAATAACTTTCATTTTTTGTATTGCCAGAGCAATACATATTCATGGCAAAAAAATTAGAGAAAACCAATAAAAAGAAAATTTAATATTACTCATGCTTCTATCTAAAAAGATTCTAATCAATAATATTTTATGTGTATCTTGCAAGTCTCTTCTTCATGCAAATGTGTGTACATAAAATGAAAGTAAAAGAAATTACTGTATATAGTGTTTGAAAAATTATTTTTTAATTAATAGCACATTACAGGCATCTTGCTATATCCTCACATATTTCATAATATCGCATTCACTACCATTCTACTGAGTGGAGGCAGTGTGTACAGGTACTCAACCGATGTATTTCAGACACTAAAATGTGGTCAGAATGCAACTACATAGGAACAGGTTCCCAGTTCTGGGATGCTCTGTCAGAATAGACTTGTAAATCTGACCACGCTTGCTCTAGAATTAAATTATTTCATCTTAATGGCATGTTGGTTTTTTTCCTCTGAATTCCTCCATTTTAGTAAAAGTAATTGTAGCTATTGCTATTTATTGTTTACTTTGAGACGTTCCACTGAATAGTTGACATACAAGAAGCAAGTAATGTTATGAGCCTCATTTTACAGTTGAAAAAGCAGTCAGAAAGAGTTAAATAATTGACCCAAGACTGTACCCACAGAGCCTGGGCTCAATTCCACTGTCTATGACATAGAGTAATCTCCTAACCCACAGCCCTGAGTCCTGCCGATCCCCTGAGACTGTCCAAATTCTTGCACTTGATGCTAAGGATGCCCATTTGGAACTCATTTGGCATCCACATAAAGAAAGACTGTGTCTTTGTTCCCTTAGCAAAATTCAACATCTTCTTGACAAAGCAATATTTTGTGCTAAGACCTTAAGTTCAGTAGCAGCAGAGTCAGGGTGGGTCAACAGGTTTTCCATAGAATGGGGCAGGCAGCCTTCTGGACACTATGCCCCTGTTGGGATGGGAACACTGAAATATAGATTAAAATACCTCACATTTACATAGGGCATAATATGTATTGAAATGAATCATAATTTAACATTTGACTCTTGAACAATAGGGTGGCCCAGTGACTAAAGTTAGGGTTTTATTTCTAATGTCGCCAGTGACTCCCAAAGGAACACTGGACGTGTCGCCTCCATCTCCATTCATTTTCACTACCGATAGGGTATGGATGCAGAGGTGATAGTGAACATATTTTAGAGGACATTGATACATCAAAACACGGGGTATTTCTAGAAAAAATAGAAATGATTAAAATCGTGAAAATATGCAACTAGTTAAAGTGCAAGGATACACCCAGAATTTGGCCCAGGCGGCTGCTTTTCTTACTCCTGAGACCTAAACCCAGGAAAACAGCTTTCGTATCATTGAAAAAGCCATCAGCTGCCCCAAATGTTTCCAGTTTATTTCCTTCCCTCTTCAATTTCCCAAGTCAATATAAAAATTCTAATATAGTTTGTGAAAAGTAGAAAAATATCTCTTATTATTTCCTTATGGATCTGTGATGCCACACTAGTTTATAAGAATTAGGCTTATCAAAGCATAGATTCACTAAACTTCATGTTAGAGGCCAGATAAAAGTCTCTTACTTTTCATAGAAACCTATTGACTTAGAGGCAAAAATATTATTATAGCAGAAACAATAAACATAATCCCCTATGGAAGGATATCACAATCATCTCCTCTTTGTACCAATGATCTTGAAATTGGAGAACTGCTGCCAGATTCTGAGTTACAGCACCAGCTATATTGATAGCAGACCTCAAAATCTCGTAAGTCCCGCTACGAAGTTTTTAATCACCTCCATTATAAAGATAAGATTACGCTGATGGAATGCAGTGTCTGGTAAGGACAGGAACTAGTACAGTCAAAATATTAACTTTTTCCTTCTCTTGTTCCTTTCTTTTGTGTATTTAAAACTTCAGTGTTGATATTCTGCATTCCATCTATTTTTTAATAATAGTGCATACCACCCACAGTTCACTGGCTATTTTGTTTTTTATTCCTGTCAAGCCGTTACACAGAAAAGGCATTTTTAGAACTAACATTTGTAGAAATTGTAACGTCAGAAGATTCCTATTTGTGTTGGAGACTTGCTAGCAGTGCCTGTGGTGTAATAAGTGTGGTGCTCCAAGATAGTCAGAAGCATGGAGGTTGTGTCCCATGGGGCTACTATCAAATCCTATTAAGTATTTGAACGGTAATGAGAACACGACGGTGCATTTCCTGAGGATGCTTGCTGGCAGGTCTCAGTCTCAGCACAGGTCACCTCCGGCTGTTAGCGCCTCTCCTTCCATTGCTCTTCTCCCCTTTTGTGCTCATCTCTTGCTTCAGCGCCACTGCCCCAGTCAATCATGGCCCCAGGTCTCGCCGGCAGCACTGCCAAGCAAGGCCTTTTCTCCCTACCTCACATCAAGTGTGTTGCTTCTGTGTCGTGTGCCACTGAATGCGGACTCCCTGCAGGAGAACATAACACCATAACTCTTCCTCATGCACATCCTCCTGGGAGCCAGTATGTATCCACCCCTCGAGAGCATGGGCCGACTCTGCTGTGGTGCCGAGAAATCAGATTACACTTTCCAGTGTGACCGGTATTTATGGGAGCCCTCCTTTGTGCAGAACACACTATCAGGAATGCAAAACTGAACGCGCTGCTGGTACTGCCTTCAAGGGGAATCAAAAGCAAGGCTCAGCAAACTGCCTCTCCTTAACAAGCCAGATGGTAACTACCTCAGGTTTTGCTGGCCATTGGATCTGTTATAACTCAGCTATGCCACTGTAGTGCAAAAATATCCATAGATACATGATACCAATACTTAAACAAATGGTCACGACTGAGTTCAGTAAAACTGTATTTACAAAGTGTGATGGTGGACTTGTTTTTAGACCAGGTCCATAACTTGCTGGGTCCTTGTTTAAAGTCAAATCTGTTTTACCCATCTTCATTAATCTGGCCTTGACAGGATGGATCCCACAAAACAGAGCATAAAAGATGGTAGTTAGCCATCAATGAAGTAATTAGAAGGCACACTGTATATACATGGAAATACCTTGTATACTCAATGAAATACAGAGATGGTATCTGTAGGTAACAAGAATTCTAGACTTTCACAATGATCTAAGTCTGAATGAAGACACTGAATCCAGAGGAAAGAGTTTCTTAGAACATTTGAATGTTGTTTAATACTGTACTGATATAGTGCCTTCAAATAAAATTCTTATCTTTGCACCTATAAGCACTTATAAAACTGGATAAAGCCCTATGGACATGGTAAAAATTAAAGTTAGTAACTGTAGTGAAACTCAAAAATAGTCAAAGAAAAGGCTGCATAAAGGAAGGAGAAGAGAATGAGGAGGAGAAAGTTATATGTATTTTAGTAGGAAACCTACAGATGAATAGATGTTAGCTTGCTAGATCAATGAATGTATAACTATTTGCAAAGGAAGTGTGCTATGGATTTGGAAGAACTTTACATAATATTAAGTAGTCCAAAAACCTATAATTTTAGGTGGATAAATAAAAACAGTGAATGTGTGTTTATTAGTCACAACACAGCCTGGTAAGGCTTTGCAGAAGGGTAATGAATGTTCCAGGGGACTATAATCCATACAGTGATCAAGGGTCCCAAGGAACCTTCCATTGGTGGCTGATGATCTCCTAGCACCTTGTCATTTGGCTTTTGGATATTAGTTGGAAAAAGAGAGAGGTTGGAAATGGAATTTATCACAGCTACTCACATTCCATTGGCAAGACTAGCCTAGGAGTGCAGAGGACAGAGAAATGGTGTCTAGCTGTGTACCCAGGAAAAGAGCCTTCTCTGTCACTGTTACAAAAGCTCTGACAGATCCCAGCAACACCACGAATTTCAAGAAGGTATCATTTGAGATGGGCCTTGGGGAAAGGGTAAGATATTAGAAGCTAGGGTGGATTTTGCAGTTAGATAAGCAAAAACGTTGAGGCTGGTAAGCCCAAGGATGTGGTCAGGGAATAATCTATCCTCTTGGTCAGCTAATGTGTAGCAGGAAAGGTAGCTGGCTGCCAGCAATGCAGTCCTGTATTCTGAAGGCAACTGTGTGTGCAACGTCCCTGTTCTTTTCTGTGTTAACCACAGACAAGTGTGGAGGATGGGGTCTGAGAGACTGAGGACAGAAAGATTGAAGCTAGGAGAAAGGGTGTTGTCCCGATGTGTCCCTGGTCCCTGTACGCAATACAGTCCTTCTGCTCTGCTTCCTTTCAGCAAATCTCTGCCACCTTAACTACATCCACACCACCAATCACTGGATCACAGGGGTGGAAATAGAAGGGGCAGCCCTGCTGGCCACCCCTGTCCATCACCCTGCTTCTCCCTGCCACCCACTCATCAGACCTCCTGCTTCAGAGCCTCATTCCCAGGGACAGGTTAGCCCAGTCACCACCACCCCACTTCAGACTAGTGCCAGGCAGAGCTTCAAGCAAGCCCGATCAAGACATATTCATCAGGGTTTTCCAGGAAGCAGAACCAGCTGTTGTGTGTACATGTTTATGAATAAATAAAGATATTGATTATAAGGAATTAGCTCACAAGATTATGGAAGCTGACAAGTCCTTAGATCTACATGGAGAGTCAGAAGCTAGAAACCCAGAAGAGCTGATGACGGAGCTCTGGTCTGAATCTGAAGGCCCAAGAACCAGGGAAACTGGCGGCGAGCGTGGCTCCAGCCAGCAAACCAGAGACCCAGGACGAGCAGTGTTTCAGTCCCGTGCAGATGCGAAAGGAAGGTGACATCCTGGTCCCGTGCCAGGGGAAAAGCCACCCTTGTCCTACTCAGGCCTCAGCCCACCCACATTAGAAAGTGCAATCTGCTTTATTTGTTTAAATGCCAGTTTCACCCAGAAACTCCCAGCATTATATAAAAACCCCCAAAACACTCACGTTTCCTGTAGCAGTTCTCAGTGATAGAGATTTCCGTCTTACTCCATGAATTAAAGACACACAGGGTCCACTTTTATCAAGTATTTCACTTGAATAGACGCAGAGTAGAACTCATTGTTTAGGGACTAACGCTTGATGTTGACTTAGCGCTCTGTGTTGCCTTTTATTTAATCTGTATAGTTGTCCAATGAAGGTATTTTTGTTCCCCTTTAAAGATTAAAAATATTGAGGCCAAGGGAAGTTGAGTGATTTATCCAAATTCACATAGCAGTAGGAGCCAGGGCAGAAACATGGTAGATTCACTCCAAAACTCACCCTCTTAACTCAGATATTCTGTGATGCTTTTCATAAATTACTGTTAGTTTTATTTATGTTAAATGAAATAATGTACTTACCAACAACGGTGTCTGATACACAAGATCTCAACAATTCTTACTTATTCTTGGCCATAGTGATATTCAGGGTACATATTATTTTTCTAGTAAAGTAAATAACCTGGGGCCAGGGATATAGCTCAACAGCGCAGTACCCACCTGGGAAGTACAAGGTCCTGAGTTTACTTCTTGGGGAAAAAAGAAAAGAACCTGGAAAACTATGTGCTTATATTAAATGGAAAAACAAAGATTCAAACACCAGTTTTCTGCTTGCCTGTAAACCCTTAAACCTAAACACTTCTGTTATAGCAAGACATAAAAAAATTTTTCATTCAAACACATCTAAATAGTGAGTACAATCTTGTTAATAGTGATGTCAAGACACAGAAGATATGGTTGTATTAATCTTGCACAAATTACAAGTCATGAGTACATGGCCCCTTCCTAGGGGAAAAGATATAGAAGTCAAGATGTAGAGACCTGATTGGCCAGAGTTGCCAGGAGTTCCCTGCGACAGACACACCTATTAGCAGGTGCACGCAGGGAATGCTCCTGGAATACCCATTCTTCCTGCAGTTCAGGGTGAGGTGTTATTTATCGCAAGCATGGTTTGTGTGTTGATTAACACTGGGTCTGAGAGCTACACTGAAACAGACCCAGGCTCAGAACAGGTCCTCCTGCGGTTCACCACAGCCTGGTTTGTGCTTGGTTTGTAGAGCTGGTGCTGCCCCATGATGAGTGGGCCAGGGGTGAAGCCCCTCCCTCCCTGCCACCACATCCTGGGCTGGAAATGGGCCTTGAAGATTACAGCCACAGGTATGGATAAAATGATGTATGGGAAATGTTGGGTTCTCTGGGAAAACTCAGTGACCTGATTGTGTTTCTTTCTGGAATGGGAGTATCACAGTATCTAGAATTCCTTGCCAGTAAGAGCTTCTCAGATAGCTTAGATTAGCTTAGACTGCTCATATTTTGCTTCTCGAAATTTAAGACTCATCTTTACATTCCTAAAATTTTTAAGAAAATGGTTGAATTTTCTTTGACAAGTTTGAAAAACTTGTAACTTGTAAACTTGAAAACTTTGAGTAGTGGAACTCAAAGAAAAGTTATACAAGAAGGCATAAAACAAAACAGAGAAAACATAAAGCTTAGGATGGGTTTTTATTTTTCTTCATAATTGGCCAACTCTAAAGATATTTTAAAAATGGATGTTCCAAGAAAGTTAATGAAATCTAAAAATTAAAGCAATACCATATAAAATCTAAAATATTGGAAAGGGCACTCAATATAATGTCCATTCTGTAATAGAAACTAAAGAATCAATCATTTTTAGAATCTCACAAGCATGAGGGAGGGAGATTTGCTAAGCATATATACTATTTGACTAGTGAAATTCATAGATTTTGTTCTGATGAGTTTTAAAAATCATTAAATTGTCTCTTTGCTATTTTCTGTATTTATTATGGCTGTTAAGAAACTGTGTATTTTATTACACTGTGTGTCCCATGACAATCCTGTGAAATTTCTTCATTTTTCTTTCTGCAATGCTAGTGTCACTTCCATTATAATTTTTAATACAATCTGCTAAAAATAAAGCAACATAACAAGAGTGTAGCTAACTCTATTAGACAGAAGCCTGTATGTGTGTGCATATAACTACCTTTGATTTTTGTATTTTTTAAATCAGTTATCTTCTCAAATGCCAATTTCACAAACTTGACACAATTTCATAATCAAAATAATGTTCTAGATCAGTATCTGTATAGCTTCCTTTAAAAGAAAATGAGAACATATTTATTTATTTATTTATTTATTTATTTTATTTCCATTGTTTGCTTCAATCCAAAAAGGCAGTTTGTTGGTATCAAAAAGGCCCATGTTTTTAGTAAGCTCATGCATGCTCTTTGAGCATTTATCCTGTGTATACAGTATTGCAAAACCATTGGGATGACACAAAGCTGAGTAAGATAGAAACCCTGCTCTCAACAGGCCGGGAGACCAGTAGGCAAAAGCAATACTGAGATGGCAATGTCCAAAATGATTCTTAAAAGAAGATGTAACAGAACAATCTGGGCATGTGAGACGAAGGACAGTGCGTCCAGGTACAGGAATCAGGGGAAAGGGAAAAGTAGCCTTCCTGGAAGTAAGCACATGATGCCCGGGGAGAAGGTGAATTTCAGGGGGAAGGGCAGGTCAAAGGAATAGGACAGAGTGGGAAGAGTGACTTGATCTGTGTACCCCGCAGTCTGGCTGACTGGCTGGCTGGTGATGCCACTGTGAGCTCTAAAGATGGCCTGTGGGACTCCAGTCGCATTGCAGGGTGTGAACAGACAGCAGATCTGGGGTCGCCTGGGTTTCTGTGGGTATAACATGAGCTGGGTAAGTGGAAGAGGCCACGGGGGTCCCTGTGGGTGCTGCACTGTGACAGGGACTGGGGCTCTGGCGAGAACCTGTCAGGGGAGAGGGCGGCTCAGAGAGGAGGCAGGAGGCATCGCCAGCGTTTAGCAGGGCTTCATGGCTCCTTCACCATCTGCACAGGTTTCCTCCCTTCTCTTTCCATAAAAAGTGTTTCTCTGTGATTCTGGGAGTACAGGTCCAAGCCTCTATGGCCGCTCACTGACGGAAAGCCAGCTGGTAACCCTTGCACCCTCTCCTCCTAATCAGCTGTGTGTAAGCTTCTGTTCTCACTGCCTTACTAGAAGTGCTCCCTTACACTTCCACAGTAATCTCTCTCCAGCTGAACGTGTGGCATTTAATCCCACTGCCATCCTCTTCTGCTCCCAGGATTTGGTCATTATGCCATTCACTCCCTCTTCCATTCAAAGTATTTCTGGAGCTTTGAGCAAGACCCTGCATGAGGTGCTAAAAGGTATTGAAAGCAGCCCTGCAAGTGGCCAGTACAGTGTCCAGTTAAGAAGACAGACACGCTGGTAACGCACATGCAGCCTGCAAAGCCTTGGGAGCAGAGTTCCATGGGAGCCCAGCAGAAGGAGCCCCTGGCCCTGCCTGCAGGACTGAGGAGGCCTGCCCTGGAGGTGGAGTGTTCCAGTGATTTCCCAGAAATGGAAAGGAGCCTGCCAGCCAGCAAAGTGGTGGGCAGATCGACTTAGGTCAGAAAACCCAATGAAGGGAGAGAAGAACACATCCTGTGTTCAGTGTGGCTGTACCATACGGCACCCTGGGAGAGAACCAGTGGCTGGGACGCTGTCTGCTATGTTCTGCAAGCTCACTGTGTCTGAAGAACAGCGGCAAGGCACTAATGGGTATCAGACCCATGGATGCCTGGAGCAGTTTCCATGTTGAAGGGGGAGCCATAGACCAAGAGATCCATAGACTCAGGACCAAGGAGAGGAGAACAGGGCGTGGGCCAAACGTGAGGAGGCATGCGTGGAGAGGAAGGGGCGGTGTGATACTGTTGAGATGGAAGGAGGAAATCTCAAACCCTGCAGCTCACCCCTTCCCAGGATCCAGTGACCCATATCATCCTGCATTACTCAGTGTTTCCTGGATAACCAATAGCAACCAGGCCTTGGATGTGTGAAACTTGGGGTGGAGGGAGGCTGGGGAGCACCTGGAGGGTGAGCAGGAGACCTGCACCATCCCCAGAAGCACTCACAACGCTCTCAAGGGGAAAACAGTGCTTCAGAGGAGGCACCGGTCTCAGCTGTGGCATGAAGAGGGGAGAAGTTTGGTCAAATGTAATGTTCACACCTTGAACCAGTATGAAATCAGTAAGTTACTTTACTATGTCATCAGTGTTCATGAGGGAAAGGTTTAGAATATGTATGTCGAAATAAATAAACATGAGGGAAATGTATTTTTACTGTGGGTCCTAAGAAGAAGCTAAAGCAAACCAAGAGCAGACACATTGAGTATATTGAGTATTATATTTTTATTGCATATTGAATACTGTATTTCAGACAATATTTTGAATATTCCCTGTTTGCATATTCTTTTATTTCTCTACCCTTCCCCTCTCCTTCCTTCACACTCACACGCGCATCCCCTCATTCACACCTGTACTAGCCCTTGCCAGAGCCTACTCACAGGCACCTGAGGCTTCAGATGTGTCTTTGCATCGCTGTTTGTTTTTGCTGTGGCTTTGCATGCCTCTCGAATCGTCTCCCGTCTCCATTTTAGACAGTTCTCCTTGGATGTTCATTGCTGACTCTTCTGTGTCTTTCACTTCCCTGGTTTATCACCATCCTCAAGACACTGGCATCTGTTCCACGCCACCCTTATTTATTCATTATGCAGCATAATTTGACATTGAGTATCATTTCTATCTGATGGATTCTCTGTCTGTTCATGCTGAAAACACGGCCTTTATCTAGGACATGTCTGTGGCCTGCTGTCAGTGTTCAGCTTCCTGCAGCCTCCTCTGCAGCCCACTCAGCCATGAGCACACGCTAGCTCCCTTCAAAATTAAAATATGTCCTATTTTACAGTTAATCACTGTGTCATCCTCTCACTCCAAATGCTTTTTATGTGTAGCATAAAATTACAAACCATTTTACTCGCCTAAATTACACGTCTAAACTATTTTCACATTAACTAATTCAATACTGCACTTGCTATTCCAGTGCACTATATGCTCACATTGGCTCTAATCCCATAGTGTCTTATGTCGCACTCATTTCCCTCCTTAGATATCTGTCAATCTCACATCTGATTTGTTTAGTTTTTCCCCACGGCACAAGGGACCCTTTTGTTTAAGGTTTTTATAATGTATGTCACAATCAAAATAATCACAACAGAAATATGTATCATCATCAAAGTAATAGGCACAAATCAAGCATATATAATATGAATAATACACTTCTTACAGTCTTATGTATAAAGCAGCTTTGATTTCTTTGATTATCCTTAATTATATCTTAATATTTGTATAAAAATAAAGTCACTTTTTTTGGACTAATCCTAACAATGTTACATTGTCAAGTGACACTGCCAACTTGTTTTTAAAATGGGGCTAAGGCTTATTATTTCCCAAGAGTCAGGAAAATTTTGGATTCATCTTCTTATTGTGTCAATTACTGCCTAGTTGGGTTGAAGAATCGAAGAATCAGCTGGGGAAGCAGCATGTCCCCAGTTGGACAGATCTCTTCAGTCCTTCTTGAGCAGAGGACTTTCGATGTGTGCCGTGATCTTTGTTTTAAAGAGAAACATTCTTACTGGCCCTCAACTTCTTCCCTGAAAGCTTCTCTTATAATGTATAGCTTGTGCTTCAATTAAATATTTGGCTTTCTTTAGTTTCATGATATGCACCACTCTACTGAACCAAAAAGAAAACCAGAAATGCAGGCTACACCGGACATTGCCAGCAGGACCCACAGGAAGATCCATGCTGGTGAATCGGCTCCGGTCCTGGCTTTGCCCTTGGCCACCTGTGCAACCTTGGGACATCAGTCCTCCCTTTGTGCTTCAGAGTCTTATCTAAAAGATGTGGGACTTTTAAGCCCTTCAGCTCTTAAATTTCAGATTCTGTGAAAGCTATGAGTCTTCCTGACACTAAAGTCACATCATTGCAGGAGATCAAAGGATACAAAACCAAGTGCAAATAAAGGTCAAATAACACATTGAAAGGCAAGTACTTCCAAAGGAGCAAGACTCAGGCAGAAGCCTGCGCTCACGGTGGCATCTCGGTGTTCTTTAGAAAGGGCTGGGAAAATGAAAGCATCGCTACTAGAACATGCCAGACGTTTTTCCTCACAACTGGCATATTTTTCCCTTTCTAGATACCATGTCCCGTCTACATCATACCTCAGAGACTTCATCTGTCAAAAATGTCCCTGGACATCAAGAAGCATAAAAAAGCTGCATAATTCCAGAGAGATTTAAACACTTGAGAAATTCTCACAAAAGCATATACAATCTTCTCACTGTAGAGTGCCGCAGGTCGTCTTTCAGAGACAGCCCCAGTCCACCAAAATAAAAAAGAAGATTAATAGCTGGCTCCTATCCACTGTGCTCTTACCAAGTGCTACACATTACTTTCTTAGTACGAAGCCTATCTTAATTTATCTCATTCTTACAACAACCTTAGAGAGTGGATTCTATCACTACCCCGTCTGTGGATGTGAAAGCTGAGGTCATGCTCCCTGACATCTCCTCAGTCCCCAAGCCCATTTTAATCACAGCTCTTCTGAGCATCTGACAAAAGCAGGAATGATAAAGAAACTGAAAAACATACATCAGTGAAAAGCTGAAGCACTTACAGTTATTTGGGAAGCAAGCACAGGTCTATTTATTTACTTCCTTGTGTTTATTTCTACAGCACTAACCGTGCAAACACAAATCTCTTTACTTTCCCAATCTCGGCTTATTCTATCCTCTAAGCCATGCTATAAGGTATAGATGTGTAATTATAACTATTTTAGATGTAAGGGCATTGAAGAACAGAGAAGTTCGATAACTTGCCCCATCACACAGGGAGCACGCAGCAGAGGCAGGATTTAGACTAGGCAGACCTGCTCTGGTATCCTGCCTTTCAAACACTGCACTGTGCCACCTAGCACAAGCACTTCCTTAGCGCAACCACTGCCGTGAACAACTGAGGCCTCCTTGGCCATGCAGAAATTTCATTCTCACAGTACGTTAATTTTAGCAGTGCTATCAGGCAGTAGCAGATATCCATGATGGATAAGCGTAAAACAGAAACTTATTTTGGTTTGTTTAATTTAATGTCAGTATTTCTTTTTACATTTAGGATTCTCATCGAGAAGATATTCTTTTTTATTATTATTAAAATATCAAACCTCAACTGAAAAACTCTACGTCACTCTTCTAGATTGCCTGAGGATACAGGGTTTAAGTTTTCCCTGTGTCCAAGATGATGATAGAAGTCATGTTGGGATAAGACACCTGCATGCTTTTCACACACATGAGCTACCAAGGGAAGACGTGTAACTTATTCCTATATCAAGATGTGAGCAGTGGTCTGTTAATTACTTCATATAATCCCTTCTATCCTCAAGAGAAGTAAATAAAATAAGCAACTGAAAGAAAATTCTTTGAGACTGACCACAAGTGCCAGAGGCTGGTCAGGGGAGTTTGATGGTCTTGTGTCCACGTTGTCAGCTGCGTGATTCCCATTGGTGTGAATGAGGAGTGTCTGGTCTATTCAGCATGTAGTTTCGTAAGGTACAAAACCAAACTCCCTCATCCAGGAGCCATTCAAGAAAGTGGTTTTCTCCAAGGATACAGCCCGCCACCTGTGTCTGAAGGGAGGCTGTGCTGAGCCCGCAGGCATCACCGAACCCAGCCCAGGGCTCTGCTGATGGCTGGGGATGTGTTTCGATGCTTCCCAGGGACCCTGGTCCACTCGCGGTTACACATGGTGCAGCAGGACCCCGTTAGTGGGAGTCAGTGAGGAGTAAAATGTCATATCCGTTGGAGAATATTTTAAATTGCACTCTATGATAAAATACCTGAAAACAGAGTTGCTCCATCTCATCAAAGAAACCTGAGAGTCAGAGTTGGTTTAAAATGCATGGCTTGGGCTGCAGAGAGAGGTGATGAGTGCCGGTGTTCAAATTGAAAACTAATTCTCCCTCTCTCTCTCCCTGCTTCCCTCCCTCCCCTGCCCTTCTCCCGCTTTCCCTCCCCTCCCCCAACACGCTGCATGGCTTCTTTCCACAGCTCTGGGGTGGACTCAGCAGTATATTTTCCAGATCAGCACATCAACTTCAGATCCATGACACTGGCCAGGCAGCCCGAATCAATTAACCTGAAAGCCTCGAAGAGCATGGACCTCGGTAAGCTAGACAGAGGTGACATCCAGGTCACTCCCCAGCCTCGGCCCATCTATCTTCCCAAATGTCCAGAAAGCCCAGGTCTCGTTTCTTCTGCAGACACCTGGTGGAAGGCAGATGGCCACAGATCCACCTATCATTTCTCACACATTTAATTATAATTATCCCTTTGTCAAGAAAGAGAGGTGATTTATTTTTAGAAAGTGGTCCATAGATAGGTCAGAAAGGCATGGTGCCCACCAGGGTCTCTGAACGCCACAAGCATCTTAACTCACCTACCTTCAAATTTGCACTCTGGCTTCTGCCAGTGCATTTCATTCCTAACAGACACAGTTGTCGCAGGCCGGAGCAGACGGTGTGGTGAAGCGGTGCCCTCACCCTTCGCTGCTTCCTCATGGGTGACGGGCAGGGAAGGCAGCAGAGAAGAAAGCTGACCTCTTGAAATGACCTCTTGAAATGCCCACCCCGGTCTTGCGACACTGGAGGGGGAAGTGTCCCTGAGCTGTGTGAGATGGCGATGCCCAGGTACCCCAGGGCAGTAGCTCAGCAGCTCCATGAGTTCTGAGCACCACAGGACTTCCTGGGTAGACCAAGGTCCCCTGTCAGCCATGCCCCCAGGCCCTGGGCAAGGGGACCCTGGGTCTCAAATATTCCGGCATATTGCTGCCCTCTCATGGGCTCCTAGAGAGTGTGTAAAAGCAACATAGTTATCACCTCCCGAATGCTTAGAGGCCAGTCTCTGCGATCATTTCTCTCCAGGCGTGTTATGTATTTTATTAACAACAAGAAGAAAATAGGGTCATCAAAATTTCCTGCTATACCAAACAATCTGATAACTAGTGATTGTCTGTTGCTCATTTACCAAAGTTCCTGAAAGTGTTCAATCATGATAAAATAAGAGAAATCGATTCTGTTTTCTATACATTGACTAAAGACTGGGAAGCCCTTGCTCGGGTCACCTACAGTGAGAGGCAGATAGAAAGCTTTAACATGAAAGTGTCTTGAGCGCTGGTCATCCAGGATATTTTCTTAAGTGTGAGCCTCTGACAAACCAAAGGAATAATGTATGACAGTGACATCAGTTATTACTAATAATTTAGGGAGCAATTTATTTTTACGAAGTACTTGATAAATATTTCCTGTTCTGTCTTCCCAGTTTCTCCATAAAGAAGATAAATGAATATAAACTGCTCTTAATTTGGGAGGGAGAAATATATTACTATTTTCTTCAGTTAATTAAAAAAAAGTTGCCAGTATGATGGTTTTAAAATATTTCTGCCAAAGATAAAAATAGTGTAGCATCCATTTTAATTTGAGAGAAAAAATTATTGAATCTGTAAAAAAATAAAACCTAAATCATGCCCAAAAGTAGTTCTACTTTTATTTCTTGTTACTGAAAAAATGTTTTGGGATGTTTTCTCTTAAATTGAAATCATCTTTTCAAAGTATCTATGGTCAGAAGTCATCCTTCGCATTTTGCCATGCATATACCATTAGTGATAGGAGTAACAGTAATATGGGGCCAGTTTGCAAAATTGGGTGGATTAGGAGTTATTTTCTTCAGGGCACCAACTTCCAAACTAAAAGCTTTAACTAAACCACTCCATACAGCGGAAACACTCAACATGCCATCAAAACATTTTTTAGAGTAATCATCAAAGTTTAGCCCTATCTAGGAAATACACTTAAAGCTAACAGTCTGGCAGAAGCCTGCTGGGATCATTCAGCTCCCTGCTCCCCAGAATGCGATGGGATGAGCTTAATAAATGTGTTGGCATCCCAGTGCGTAAGCCCAGGTGACCCCAGTGAGAAGCATTAGGAAGTGTCTTTCCTGTGTGAGTCAGGGTATGTGGCACCCCGTGCAGTCTAGCTGTCCCTATCTCCCCCAGGCCAATGCAGGAAAAACCTATTCGCTAAAAAGTTGCTATGGACAGATACACAAATAATAGTATCCGGAGGACCAAGAGTCATCTTCAAAAGGTTTCTTAAAATTCATACTTCCAAAAGTATTTATGTTGAACACCAAATTAGTGCTTTTTTTGATCTGAAGAAAAAAAAAAGCACATCCGTTTCATAGTTCAAAATAAAAACATAAAAATGATAAATCCTTCTACAGTCTGCATTCTGTAAGTTATACCGGCTCCTCCTTTATAAAACCTGTGAAGCCAGATGTCACAGTGCACACCTGTGTTCCCAGCTCCTGGAGAGTATGAGGCAGGAGCATCACAAAGTTCGAGTCCACCCTAGGCAGTGTAGAAAGAGTCCTCCCTCAGAAACATAAAATCTACAGGAAGCATCAGCATTTCGTGGACCCATCAGGGCCATCGTTTCTGCCTCATTTTTGCTGCTGAGTTTGGACTATTATTTTAGCTTGCATACTAGTAAGACTTTCATATGTTCAAAGGATTTTAAAGATGTGTGAGTCCCATGCTCCTGTTCTCACTTCATTTCCAAAGACAGAGAATTCTGTTATGAGAAATAAAGCCTCCTTGTCCCTGTCTCCTTCCCAGACACAAGTCTGACAGTCACGTGTCACCTCTGTCCTGGAGGGCACCTACAGTTTGCTTCTGTCTCAGGTTGTGTGCTTCTCTGTGTTGCTGCGTAACATGACCAAGTGACTCGTGCTGTATAGGGTGCTTTTCTCTTCACTTTTTTTTTTTTTGTCTTTTTTTTTTTTTTATTGGTACTGGGGATCGAACTCACGACCACCTGCTTGCAAGGCAGGTACTTATGCCACTGAGCTAAATCCCCAGCCCCCTCTCTTCACTTAAATGGAGGTTTTATTTTGTGCTTTTATCTGTTTATAGTTTAGTTTGTAATTATTTACTTATGTCCTTTGCCAATGTTTCCATTTAATTCTTTTTTCATTTTTAGAATATTGTCATACATTTTACAAATAATTTCCTATAATATATTTCCTCTTTCTAGTTTAAGTTTTGTGTTCTTCACCATAAAAAATCAGTCTTATAATTGAATATTTCCAACTTTTCTTTCATTTGATTTTTATGACTGACAAATGGCATCATTAATTTTCTTCTAGAAATATTATCTTTTTTGAAGGTTAAACAATTTATAGTATATTCATATCCAAGCTTTATGAGGTGAGAGTTTTTTTCTTCACAAAAATAACAAATTATTAGAAATTTTTTAAAAATTTCCCCTCCTTTGCCTGTGTATGCAGCTTCTCTGGGCTCTAACTTCCATTGCACACATGTGTGGGTGGGAGTATAAGCACACTAGTCTCTCCCGTGTACTACTAATGTGTCCTGTGCCAGCATCACCCTGTTCCTATTATCATGGGATTAATGACCTCATATTTGATTACTTACAGGATAATCTTCTTATTGTTTTTCTTTGTAAAAAGAAAACATTTTTCAAAGTAAAATTATTTTGACCCTTCAAACATATTTATTCTCCAATGAAGTTTAAGATCAGCTTATCAAAGTGAGTTTAAAGATTAAATAGGAATGCTTCCTCTGTGTGTGTGTGTGTGTGTGTGTGTGTGTTAATTATAATGTTTGCTCTTGGTTCCTGTTTGTCAAGTTAAATAAGCTTCTTTGTGTTCCTAGATTCCTCATTTTTTTCATTAGTCTCTTTTTTCTTAAAACCCAAAATGAGTATTGAATTTTATTAAGTGATTTTAAGGATCTGTTCAGATGGTGATGCATGTTTTCTTATATACTAATATAACAACATTTATATTGCAAATTAATGCACTCTATTATAGTAATCTTAAATTTTTTAATGATTCCAAATTTTCTGTTCTTGAAAATGTGTCCATTTGATAGTCTACTAGATACATATATTAAACTCATATATTTATGCTTTAAAATGTGGGTGTTAAAGTCTGATACTGGTTTTGAAGTGTTATTAAGCCCTATGAGTCTTCTACAGATTTTCAGAGGCTATCTTGCTTTCCTATGTTGTGTATATTTTTGCTGGCATGAATATGGTCACATTTAAGAAAGATCAGAAATGACAAAGGAAAATTTATTTTAAAATAATTGGATATAACTATGCTTATTCAAAGGGTTTAGGGTGTCATTTAAGGGACTGGGTAGGTACTTAGAGGTTTTCCAGAAAATCAGTCTTTTCCTACTAATTGTAGACTTTCCTCTATTTATTTCAATTACCAGAATTACTGTGCTCAGTCTGGATCCCTTTAATTTGTTCATAATTGAGCTTGTGTGGGTGTTGAGTTAGAAGCTCTCAGAAGCTGAACAACACAGCTGCCTTTCTGGCCTTTGGCATAGGGCTTCCCCCCAAAGAGCTGCTCCTTTTGGCAGAACGCCAGGGAGTTATACTCAAAGACTTTTTGATGAGGCATAAAAATCTTTAATTTCCAGGCTTGATGTTTTATGACCCCATAGTACTATTTAAGAATTAGTCTCAATTTTTCAAGGGATAGCACTTCAGTATTCTGGACCCTTTGTTGACCTAATCTATAGCCCCATTCAAAGCTGGGTTTAAAACACAATTTCCCACAAGATTGTTTTAAAGAGTTTTGTGTCCAACTGGCCTCAGACTCCTGCCTGAGAAGGTCGTCTGTGATGCTCTTCAGAGGAGCTGGACGATGCAGAGGGGAGATGCTGGCCAGCTGTCTTGCCTCTGTTCAGGAGAGGAAATGAGCCCAGACTGACGAGTAAGGCACTCAGGCGAAATTTTAGGAGGCTTCCTGACAATGAAGATTGTTAACATTCCACGTTCCCTAGCTCTTAGGAAAAACACGTATGCCTTGAATAACTCTCCCTGGAATCAAGAGGAAAGATAGATTGGCTGATTGTCTTTCAAGATCTGTGATTCAGCAATTTTATTTTCTGTTAGTTTCTTATTCTACTTTTTAAAAGTTTTTTAATTTAGAAAATGTTTGTAGATGCCCAGAGTTGAAATAAATTATAAATCAACTGATTTGTTATAGCTGTAAAGATAAATATTTGAATATACTGCTTTCATACATGCCAAATAGTCCTCTCATAGAGTAATTTGGCATCTCCAGTATCAAA